TTTCTTGAACAGGGAAGAGTATAGTACTGTTAAACTACACTTGTCTGCTATCTTGTTTTTTACAGTTAAAAATGAATATGTTTGTTAGAGGAGATATATGATTAATTTACAAAATTAAAGTGCTAAAAAACATCAACTGCTAAATATAAAATCAAATAATCTTGACTTCTTAAATTCTATAAGGCAATTTAACATCAAAATGTGTTTTTATAAATTGGTAAATAAATAAGGGTCTAAGATTGCTTTTTTCCTTGGTCTTCACTAAAGCAATGTTACTAAGAGTTGAAGTTCTAATAGGTGAAATTCTATATGCAAAGAGTCCAAAAAGTTTCAGCTCTGTTTCAATTAAAGTACTGTAAATAGCATAAAGTATTTCATCTTTTTGAGAGGAATAATTGGAAAATTCAGAAATTTCATAATGAAGGCTATTTCATAAGGCCAAATATTAATGTATTGATATAAATCAAAGTTTAATCCTCTATATGTTGAAATAACAAGAATTTATTACAACATTAATCTGCTCTTATCTATCAAGATAATTTGTGTCTGTTAAGTTTTATTATTTAGAGAAACCAGTCTTAAAGAAGTTAGGGTTCCTACAACTCTAGTTAAACAACAACTGTTAGTTTAGAGTATTACACTACACTACAGATTCTGAATTTTCCTAAAAGTATTCATATCTTCCATGTACACATATATTTAAAGTGTAAGGTTTAGAAAAACATTTACCAAGCTGGTGCTCTTCAAACTAAAGTTTAAAATAAAGGGTTGGGGTTATAAAAATTATGTTTCTTAGTTCATAACTATTATACAAACTGAATATGTTTTTACTCTTATTAATTTCATTTTGTATTTTCCTTGTAAGATTTAACTATTATATGTTAATTCCTTACAAAAGTACAACTTCTAATATAGCAACATGAGTTAATTTGAGATAATAGGCCATCATGTATAGAACAGGCAGGATGTAGGGCTAACTTCTAGCACTAACACTGACCCTAATTAAATACAAGAGGTAAATAACTATAAAGTTATAGAAATTAAAGGTAAAACTCAGTACTCTTACTTTAAGACTGATGAAACTGTTTTGCTAGATGTTTAAGATCAAAACTTAGAGATTAAAATATTAAAGAATAAAAGGGCCAAGAAAGAAAATAGCCAATATTTGGCTCTTGCCCTCTGAGTAGCTTGAACCCAGTGAAAAAGGGAACTTCTCTAATAGTTTTGTGACTCTGGGCCACATGATCTCCTGATCAGGGAGATTAGTGAGACTCTGGAGAACATAAAGCTGATCAGTGCACATGATGCAAAGAGAAGGGTCTTTGGAGAAGGAGACATCCTGGATGCTTCCAAGGGAAACCACATGGTCAAGGAGACCCTGACCCATCCTGGAAGATGGCACTAAAGAAGCTGAGATGCTGCTCACAAGTTCCCAAGAATGACCCACTGAGGGAACTCAGCTGACTCTTAACAATAGATAAGATCAAGGTCATTTTAACCAGTTTGGTCTTAAACATCTAGCAAAAACAGTTATAACCAAAGAACAGTCCTACCTAGGTATTTAAAAGAAAAAACAATAGTTATTTTAAAAGAGCTTAAGATATACACTTGTGTCAGTCCCACAGCCCTGGTGCCCCCAAATTCTGAGACATTTTTTCTTTGTGAGGTTCATATTTACCCCAGCCTACAAAAAATTGGACTAACCTCTGTACCTTGCTCTTCCTTGCTCTTCAAATTGACATTTTTCCCTAATAACCAATATTTGCCTATCCTGATAACAGTGCACACATAAGAGAGCCCTTCAGTTTGTTCTCTTACTCATAGAGCTAGAGATATCCATTGGGATTGGCTCAGGAGCAGTAGAACTGGGACCTCAATTCATTGCCAAAAAAATTATCAGAAAGATTATTGAAGACATCCAACAGGTTGCCAACTCAGTACTAACTTTACAAAATCAATTGAACTCTATGGCATCTGTCATTATGTAAAACTGTTGGGGCCTAGATCTCTTCACTGCCAAATATAGTGGCCTCTGCCTCTTCCTCAGGGAAGAAAGCTGTTTCTATGTAAACCAGTCAGGATTGGTAACTGGCTATATTAAACAGCTTCAGGACTGACTGCCTAGGACAGTGGAGATGAGAACTAGCTGATTCCTAGTGGTCCTCACTGAGGGATTTAAAACAATGGATCTACTGGTTACTCCCCTTAATATTAAAAAAATTTTTAATTGTAGATAGACACAATCTTCTTTATTTATTTTTATGTGGTGCTGAGGATGGAACTTAGTGCTTCACATGTGCAAGGCAAGTGCTTTATTCCTGAGCTGTATCCCCAGCCTATTCCCCCCTAATACCTTTCCTCTCTGTTATATATATATATAGTTGTAGGTAGATACAATATCTTTATTTTATTTGTATGTGGTGCTGAGGATCAAACCCAGTGCCCCATGTGTGCTAGGTGAATGTTCTACCACTAAGCCACAACCCCAGCACATTTTCCTTAAATTCTTAATTTTATACAGAAATAGCTTTTTAGCAAGGTAACCCATTTAGCTCAAACTGCCTCCCAGGAACATGTCAAAGCCTTTCTCCTTCTGCACTCACAATCTGATTCTCTGAAACCACAAAAAGGGGAATTCACCTACAATGAATTGAGACTTCTTCCATATACATCCCTTTTAAGCCTCAACTAAGGGATTTCTGTATTCTCTCTCAGAATTTTGAAGGGGGGTCCCCCTACTTTACCCCTTTTCAGCAGGAAGCAGCCAGCTATGATATTGATGTCCCTATTTATTATCCCATTATTATTCCAGAGTCTGGAATGAAGAATATGGAAAATAACAACCCCCAGGAAGATAAGGAGAACAATGAGCCCCAGGGAGAAAAGGTGCTGGCCTTTCAAAAATTCCCATATCTGCAACTGTTCCCTTGACTGCCCAACTGGCACATTCAGCTATGACTCAATCTCACTGAACCCTAAAAATCATGGGCCCCCTATTGTAACCAGTTGCCATTTTCCTCTTGAAAATGTGTCCCTCTGCTGCTTAGTAAAGCATTGCTGATCCATTGAGGTCTGTCTCTGTTTCTTTTTCTTTCTCTTTCATTTGCTTTCACAGGGCACAACCCCAGAGACTTACTTCCTTTGGTCACTTACCACTTATCTAGTCTGTTGAACCAGGATGGGTTGATTAGTTTATAGTACTTACAATCTAATCATTTAACTTCTGAATATTTCTGCATTAACAGGAGTTTGGGGGGATACCTCATATCCAAACCATAATAGCTATATAAAAGAAATTTGGAAAATTGAGCTTGTAATTCAGGAAAGATAATCAGACTTAGAAATATTTTCTTTACATAGATTTGGAGACATTAACATTTCCATGTGTCTTTATTGTTTTCAAGTTTATAGCATTGATGTTTATAGAGTTCAGGCTTTTTTATACTTATGAAGTGCTTTTCTGCTTGTCTTTTTGTAATGTGCATTGTAATGAAAGAAGGCATGTGTTCTGAATTCCCTTGGTTCTCATGTTTTTCATGGTGTCTCCCATTGTGCCAGGATCTAAACAGACTTGGTCAAGTCTGGGCATTGGAAGTGATTAGCTTTTGGAAGAATTAGCTTGCTGGATTCCCTAGGTGAGAATTGTTCTTAGCAAGGGTTGGAAAAAGATCAGTACTGAGGAAGCCAAAGTGGAGATAAGCAAGCTAGGAACTGGGAAAGAAAATGGCCCATGCACACTATGCTAATTAGAGAAACAGATTCAAACCAGAGTAGCAGACATTTCATGACAGAGTTTGCTAAAAAAAAAATCTCACATCTGAACCATCTATATTTGTGCCATGCATTTTAATGCTGGTTTATGCAAATGATAAGGAGTCCTTTAAAATCCTTACAACCCAGGAATGCCTGCCTGATCCTGTCCATTCTTAGAAGAGCCAATTCTGAGGATAGCCAAGGATTCCCAACATGTCTGAACAACTTGTTCTCTTATTAGATACCATTTCAAACCTACATTTGTATTGATTTATTTTTCATGATATACTTCAAAACACACAGGAGGTGGTTTAAAATAAAATAACAGATACAACAAGAAAGTCAAGCAGAGGAAGGCAGACTTTATACTGTCTCAAGCAGTCAGACTGAAGAAAGTGGCATCATTAAAAGTAAAGTTTGGCCCTGAGCTTTCTAACAGCCTTGACAAAAAAGAAAATGCATAGATTTTCTAATTTTGAGACTTTATGAAGTAGTTCTATAGTCTTTTTTGTCACTTAGAAAGAATATCTGTTAATTAGGAGAGAAAATTCTGTCTTGGCTATGAGCTCTGAGAGTATTTTTTCATGAAGAAATTAATCTAAGAGGCACTGAGCAATATAATAAATTATTCAGATTTGTAGTATTTTTTTAATTAATGCTTTATCTTTTTGATACATGTTTTTCTGGAAGCACAGGATTGAAATTTCTTGATCAGGGTTTTATTTCTTCTTTAAGTTTTCATCTTACTTATTTACTGCTATATAGCTATTTGGAACATGAATTTAGGATTTGTTTTTTGCATTATTTATTATGGCGTCTATTATTGTAGTGTCCCTATTTATTGCTCTGAAAGCTTATCTCAGTGCTTTTTGTTATAAAATTGAAATCATCAGATAGTATAATTGAATCCTTAAATTGTCATCATCAGATGTTTAGGAAAAATACATTTTGAGTAACTATTCTCACAAATTCTCTGCTGTATTGTTTATTGTTTTTACTTCCTCTCTTCAGTATTTTTAGTCTTAATACCATTAGATACATTGCTATCATTCATTACTATTGGAAATTGCACATTTATAAACTTTTTGTGACTTTTGAGCCATGTTTTCCAAATGGGTTGCACCAGTTAAACTGGCACCAGCATTGTTCCAGCATCAGATAAAAGTTAGAGCTGGGCGTGGGGGTCCATACCTGTAATCCCAGCCACTGAGGAGGCTGAGACAGGAGGATTGCACGTTCAAAGCCAGCCTCAGCAATGTAGTAAGGCCCTCAGCAACTTAGCAAGACCCTGTATCAAAGTAAAACATAAAAAGGGCTAGAGATGTGGCTCAGAGGTTAAGTGCCCTCCGGGTTTAATCCCTGGAACTCCCCCCCCCCCCCCGCCCCCCGCAAAAAGACTTTGAGTAAAGCTCTGAAATTTGTCTTCTGTTCTTCTTGGTTTATACTTAATCTGACAAGTTGATGCTAACATCTTTTGTAATGACATCCATTTACCAATCTTTATTAATAGCTCACCCAATGTGCTTTTTCAAAAGGCAAGGTACTGAAATTCTAATCACCATCATTATTTAAGACCTCATACATTTTAAGACTCTTGGAAACCTGAAGTTTCTGTGTCTTCTCTGACAACAAAATTGTGTGATAAAATGAATTTATTCATATATAATTGGTATCATTTTTATATTTGTTTTCATGGAAGTCTAAAATATATTTTTCAGCTTTATTATTGATTGATGAAGAAAAGGAATGGTTTTCATTATCATTGGGAAAGGTATTTTGCTTGTCATTTGTGGGTCACTGTGAGCAAAATATCTGACAAGAACAACTTAAAGCAGACAAAGTAACATTTATTTTGGCTCATGGTTTCAGAAATTCAGTCCATGGTCAGACAACTCCATAGCTCTAGACCTAAGATGGGGCAGAACATCATGGTGCAAAAGCGTGGCAGAGGAAAGCTGCTCAGCTCATGGCAGCCAGGAAGCAGAATGAACAGGGTGCAGGGTGCTGAGGATAATATATTCCCAAAGGTATACCTCCACTGACCTACTTCTTCCAGTCATGACTTGCTTGCCTATACTTACCATCCTGTTAATTCATTCAAATTATTAATTCATCAAATAAATTAAAACACTTTAAGGCTATAGCTCTCATAATCTAATAATTTCATCCCTGAACATTCTGTGTTGTCTCATACATGAGCTTTAGGGGAACACCTCATATTTAAACCATAACAGGTATCTTGTATGATTTATTCCTAAATTATCTGGCAAAAAGCCTGACTGAAATGTTGATATTGCCTTTTTTTGTACCACAACTAAAATGTGGAAATAATTTCAGTTCATTAAACTGATTTGTCTGGATCTATAGTTAATCTATAAGAACACGTGAAGATAGACAAAAGTGGAATTGAGGATAAGCATTCAGTAATCTTAAATAGCTGATGATAACATCTGGGCTTTTGAGGGAAGGGCATGGAGGAATGTTATATTAGGCTGAGGAAATGTGGGTAATAAAAATGTGGTATATGAAGATTCTCTTAATAAAAAAAAGTTGTAAATCTTAGAATCGCTTTTTAAATGCTGATTGAATTTTCAGATGACATAAAACACAGCTGGCAAAGATAAGCCTTACTACTCAAAGTGTGGTCCATTGACCAGTGACACTGGTGTTACCTGGGAGCTTAGAACTGCTCAGACACTACTGTAGAGCACCAATAAGAATTTGCACCTAGCAAGATACCCAGGTAATTCATACATAAGCTAGACTTTGAGAAGAAAACAGCAAGACTGAATCCAGGGCCTCAGACATGCTAAACAAGTACTCTATAATGGAGCCAGACCCCTGACCCTTTGTTGAATTTTTTGAGGAACTATCAAACTGTTTTCCATAGAAGCTGCACCATTTTACACTCCCACTAGCAATACGTAAGTGTTCCAATTTCTACACATCTTCTCTAACACTTATTTTCTTAGAAATTAATATTCAACCTGATTTTTTATACTTAATGTTCATTATATAGGAATAGATTACCTCATTAGCAAAATACATGGAAACAGTAGTCTCTTGGAAAACTAGATTTTGTTGCTGTAGTGTTTATTGCTTTGGATGTGGCCCAACAACAGCTGCAGCACCACCATAAATGCATTTAGCAAGGAATGGGAGAAACAGGAACAGAAGGTAAGTAAGAAGAGCAGTGTGCTGTCTGCATTTATTGAGGGGGTCCCAATTACAGAACCCTAGAAATTAGGGTCTGAAATGAGTAGATGGTGCCCTTTATCCCCTTGCCACTCTCCCTCTTTTCTGATAATAGAGTTCTGAACTTTCACAGGGCTGAGTTGCATGTGAATTTCTTGTTGAAACTACCTAATCTGTTTGAGGCCCAACAGTCTATGGTCCAGGATGGTTGTTTGGGTTTTTGTTCACAAGGATACTCACTTGAATTACTGCAAATAAGAAGGAAGCTATTTTAAGGATATAAGGAAGGTTAATACCTAATTTTGCAAGAGAAAGAAAAGTGACTGAGCTTTGGTGAACCAGGAGCCTGAGGTTGGTTCTGCATTCTAAGAGTTTGTGGAGATCTCATGAATAAATGCAACTTTCTCTGGTTTTCCATCATTAATGCATCTTAGGTACCCTTTGAAAGTCTGCTTCTGTCTGTAATGCAAATGTATTCTTTCCCTCTCTGATGACTGTATTTTATCCCAACTTTCTACTGTCTTAAATTTAGTTTGTACAAAGCTTATCTAGGCTTCTTTGCTCCTTTTTACGGCTACCATTGATAACTGCCTCTTTTCTTTAGTCAAAATTTATTAGAGATGCCAGAAATCTGATTGGTTCAGCTCAACTTTCTATGCAAGATGATGTTAATCACTATCAGGCAGTTGTCCAATCAACTGTGGTCTCTATAGTCCTCCTTGGCCAAGGGTAGTATATAGGGAATTGCAGCTGGAAGGGCTGGAGGGAAAGGCAGATATAATCAATTTCTCTTGAATAGAATGCAACTCAGAGGCTGGCCTTTCTGTATTCGTTACTTGTGTTCTCAGGCTGATAGGGAACATATTTTTTTCTGTAGGGAGGTACTTACCAATCATGAAAGTTGACTTTGTCACCTGGTAGTAAAGGCAAATGTATTCCTAAATATGTATTTAAGAAACAATGAATGGAAGATCCAAATCTTCCATGTCAAATAGGGTTACCAAATAAATTACAGGATGCTTAGTAAAATTTGAATTACAGATAAACAATGAATACATTTCTCATAAAATAGCCTGAGAAGAAAGTCAAGTCCAAAAAGCAAAATATTTCCTATTTCACGAAACCCCTTCCTGAAACCAATTCTTCTCAAATTACTCCAAAAAGTAGAAAAGAGAATTCTTACAAACATTCTACAAGGTCAATATTAACCTGATGCCAAAACTATACAAAACACAATAACAACAAAAGAAATGTATAGACCAATATCTTATTTTGAACATAGATGCAAAAATTTTCAACAAAATACCACCAAGCCAAATCCAACAGCACATGGAAGAGATTACTCACCAATATCCAATGAGATTCATCCAGGGATGTGAAGATAGTTCAATTTACACAAATCAATAATTGTGATATATCAGATCTACAAAAAAAGGGCAAAATCCATATGATCATCTCAATTAATGAAAGAAATAGCATCTGATAAAATTCAAGTCCCTCATGATAAAAACTCTGAACAAATTAAATTTAGAAAGAATGTATTTCAACATAATAAAGGTTATATACTACATGTCCATGGCTAACATCATACTGAATGGGGAACAAATAAAAGCTTTATCTCTAAGATCTGGATAAGACAAGGATGCCCAATTTCACCACTTTTATTCAACGTAGTAGTACAGACAAGAAAAAGAAATAAAGGGTATCCAAATTAGAAAGGAGGAAATAAAATTGTCATTGATTGAAACTGGCACAATCTATGTATAGAAAACCCCAAAGACTTTGCCAGAAAACTTATAATTGAATAATTATATTCAATTACTGAATTCTGCAAAGTTGAAGGATACAAAATCAACTTATAAAAATTAGTAGAGCTTCTATACATCAATAGTAAATTACCTGAAAAAGAAATTAAGAAAGCAATCCTTCTTTCCTTCTCTTCTCTTCTCTTCTCTTCTCTTCTCTTCTCTTCTCTTCTCTCCTCTCCTCTTCCTCTTCCCCTTCCTCTTCCCCTTCCCCCCTCCTTCTTCCTCTTCCCCCTCCTCCTCTACCCTCCTCCTTCCTCCTCCTCCCCCTCCTCCTCTTCCCCCTCCTCCTCTCCTCTCCTCTTCCTCTTCCCCTTCCACCCTCTTCCTTCCTCCTCCTCCCCCTCCTCCTCTTCCTCCTCCTCCCCCTCCTCC